ATCAAAGACAACCCAATCCAACACCTAGTGCAGTACCATAATCAGGTCTAGAGGTCATGTGTAACTTTCCAGTTTTGCCCATCAATCTCCAAGGTCCAGGGCAATACTGGAAATCTGGTCCGATTCAATGGTTTAAGTAATCCTACACTGCATGTGCCTTGGGTCTCACCCTAGCGGCTGAGACAAGCCACCCCAACAGTTGGCAGCACCCTAGTGTCAGCCTTGGCAGGATAAATCTCCCCAGACTTATCCAACGACTGTGAATATTTAAAACCAACACAAGCCTCATTAAGTGTCCATTTTTAGGGTCTTACACAGAAGTATACCATACAACATGAATCAAACATGTACTTCATTTATTTACATTAAATATCAAAAGTACATCAGAATTGATTGAAGCTAAGGGCATACAAAAACTGTCCAACACTTCCTTGGATGAGTTATAAAAGAAAACAAGAAAAGCAGATGAGACGACTTGCTTTTGCGAACTCAAAACCGATAGTCAAGGGGAAAACCTAGACCTGAAACCATGAAATTCACCGAAGTATTGCCCACCCAAAAAGTTGTCAAGGATTTTTAAGGGGAAAGGATTTCTTGGTGAGATGTAGGCTTCTTCTTCCTTGGATGAGTTATAAAAGAAAACAAGAAAAGCAGATGAGACGACTTGCTTTTGCGAACTCAAAACCGATAGACAAGGGGAAAACCTAGACCTGAAACCATGAAATTCACCGAAGTATTGCCCACCCCAAAAGTTGTCAAGGATTTTTAACGGGAAATGATTTCTTGGTGAGATGTAGGCTTCTTCTTCCTTGGATGAGTTATAAAAGAAAACAAGAAAAGCAGATGAGATGACTTGCTTTTGCGAACTCAAAACCGATAGACAAGTGTAAAACCTAGACCTAAAACCATGGAATTCAGCGAAGTATTGCCCACCCAAAAAGTTGTCAAGGATTTTTAAGGGGAAAAGATTTCTTTGTGAGGTGTAGGCTTCTTCTTCCTTGGATGAGTTATGAAAGAAACCAAGAAAAGCAGATGAGACGACCTGCTTTTGTGAACTCAGAACCGATAGACAAGGGTAAAACCTAGACCTGAAACCATGAAATTCAGCGAAGTATTGCCCACCCAAAAAGTTGTCAAGGATTTTTAAGGGGAAAAGATTTCTTGGTGAGATGTAGGCTTCTTCTTCCTTGGATGAATTATGAAAGAAAACAAGAAAAGTAGATGAGACGACTTGCTTTTGCGAACTCAGAACCGATAGACAAGGGGAAAACCTAGGCCTGAAGCCATGAAATTCAACAAAGTATTGCCCACCCAAAAAGTTGTCAAGGATTTTTAAGGGGAAAAGATTTCTTGGTGAGATGTAGGCTTCTTCTTCCTTGGATGAGTCGACCTAAAAGCTTACTCTATGAAATCGAAGGCAGTTCAAGGTCGTTCAGAGTTGTTCTACTCCGTTTTTACTCTGTTTCTCCTCTATATACTCCATTTCTACGTAGTCACTCGCAGCTACCTTTGGCTCGCAATTCAGAGTCGCTCTCCGTTCTCCTCTCTCTTTTCTTCGAGTGTTTTGGAGAAAAAAACTCAAAACCAATGAAACCACAATACCTATTTACTTCGACCGACCATAGGAGCAAGTTTTTCTTTCATTTTTAGAAAGTAATATTTTCTCCTCTTTTAGATACAAACCTAAGAAAATATACAAATTTCATCGAAAATTCATGCTTTTTTGAAACCTAACCAAACGAATGCAAATCTGAACCGGAGTGCAAATTTGCAACGGTTCAAATTTGCACTCCAACCAAACGCAGCCTTAGGCTGAGTTTGGAAGAAGTACAAATGCAAATATGTAGAATGCAAAACCTTATATTTTGTATTATTTTGTATGTATTTACGCTGTTGTACTGCTTCCAAACTGAGCCTTACCGATTTTTGGACTGCATTCCCCCTCAGAAATCTGAGTTACAGCCCGCTAGTCTACTAGTAGCCCCCAATAAACCGCATGCATCCTGCTCGTGAATTTGACATCAATCCACGGTCAAGATTCAGTCCACCCCTAGATGGACCTCTAAATTTTAAGGGTTGGACTGACCTATAAAAACCCCTTCTCTTTATTAATGATTCAAATGTCTTTCTTCTAATAAATTTGAACCATCTCTAATCTTATCTCTTCTCAAGTTCACAACATGCTTTTCTTCCCTAAAATGACACCATGAAATCACAACCTTTCTACAAGAAATTATTTAGCAACTAGACATTCTTTTCCTTAATCAAATGTTCCACTCTCACCATATATGGCCAAATTATGATGTCCTTCAATTGGTGGTCAACAACTCTCCTACCCTTTCGAAATAATTTGGGTCTGGCCCAGTCTCCATTTGAAGGTTAAAACTTAAAAACCACAACTGCAACAAGATCAGCCTGGTTTCTATCTAACTTTGAATTGAGGCAGCGTCAAATATTATTGCAGCTCCACCACCAATCTGCAGCCTTTGCCAGACTCACCATTTGGGTAAAAAGTTAAATGATCTTATTATCATTATACATGTACGACCTGGATCACAATCCACCGCAAAATGGCTACTAAGTAATATATTAGAAGGTCAAAGATTCAATCTTCCTCATATCAAAAAATGAAAAAGAAAAGATTAAATCTTACGGGAAAAAGAAAAGATTAACATACTTGAAACTACAAGGTGGGATTGGTGGTGGAAAAAGGAAAATATCTACATCCAAATTTAATTCATTCATATTCCAATTCAAATGGAACGTTTTCTGTTGTGCATTAATATTCCGATTCAAAAGGAAAATGTCTACCAAAACAACGTTTTCCACTATTATTGTGCCTTCTTTCAAGGTAGAAGACAATGACCAATGTCTTCTTTTAAATGATAGTTTTGACATTTTAAAAAGTTTTAAGTGATACATATCATCATGTGATACAGACAATTGATGAAGTATTAACGGCAGAGACCTATATTAGAGGCATTTTGAAAGTTCAGATATTACAGAGACACGTTTTAAAGTTTGGGGACTGACTTGATACAAACCCTAAATAAAAAAGGAGTACAAACTTGAAGTCAAATGGGATGTGAGTGAACGGCAATATCATCACTAATTCCTTGGCGAAAAGAATAAGCTAGTCAAGTCCTGGCACTAACAAGAGGCGAGTGAGGCGATATCAAGTGTGGTGACATGACCACCTCTTCATATCTCCGAGATGATAAGCTTAATCGGAGGTTATTTTTCAGCCAACTCTTGTTCTTTACAGGCACGTTTGCTTCCTTGGGATGAAGCACGAAGTTCTGAATTCTCCGCAGAGCCACTTCCATAATTTCACTGTCCATATTCGCAAAGCATACTCTGAACCAACCAGGTTCCGTGCAATGGAAAGATGAACCAGGCGAAACATTGAGCTTAACGTCGTTGATAATCACACGCCACAGCTCCATCTCTGCTTCGGCAGTTGGTTCTTTGAGGAGACCCCTCAAGTCCATCCAAAAGAAAAGACCGGCGTTGCTCTTCAAACAATCAATTCCCACTTGGGCAAGCTTCGTCGTGAAGATCTTATGTCTCGTCGCTAGCCTTATTGCACTCTCCTGGATGAAGCTCTCAACAAACTCGTTATCTGACAAGATCGATGCGATTAGGTGTTGCGTCTGTGTGGAGACAAGTCCAAAGCTGGACATCTTGCGACTGCTGTTCATTACGGCATCATTATATGAGTACACTATGCCAACCCTGAAGCCTGGTAGTCCCATGTCCTTAGAGAGACTATAGACGATGTGAATGAGATCACGATTGCACTCGGTGTCTTCCTCTATTATCTCAGAGATGCTTATGAAATTGGTAGGATGGCTGAAGACAGTTCCTGCGTATATCTCATCAGAAACTAGGTGGATGTTCTTTTGGTTGATGAAGCTTACTAGGGTTTTTAATGTGTCTCGATCTAAGATTGTCCCTAGTGGGTTTGATGGATTTGTAACGACCAAACCCTTTACTTTGATGTTGGCCTCTTGGGCTTTCTTGTATGCCTCTTCCAGTGCACCTCTAGTGATATTGAATTTGTTAGAGCTGTTGCAAATGACTGGAACAAGTTGAACTCCTGTTCTCCACCTCAAATCTCGATCAAAACTGCAGCACAAGTGTACGACAAAATTAATGAAGGATGCACGACAAACTAACAGAGAGAGAGAGATTACACGAGTGCAGGATGGCAATGGGGCAGGGCACCTCCTCCCTGTAGCCAAAATCTCTTACCCCGTTTCTGCCTATCGGGATGGGGAATCCCTAAATTTCCCCCCTTTTGAAATTAAATTATTAGAATTTAAAGGTATTTTAAATATTGGATTATGAGAATTTAAGGATATTTTAAACATCAGATTATGATCGTAATGGTTTTAGGAATTTAGAAGAAATTTAAAGATATTTTAAAATTAATATTAAATCAAAATATATTTTAATAATTTACCATTGAATTTGAAGAATTATATATATACAAAACCCATCGCCACCCATCCCCATTTCAACAGGAGTGTCACAACTGAATAGTCATAATAAAATCGAAAACGTAAAACCATTCCCAACCATTGAATAATCGAGACTCATCAGGTTGTTTAGCTGAAAAGCTTTGGCAGTTGAGTGTTTAGATCCATGGCCGGACTGGTCAAACAATAAACCGTAGTTGATAAATCTTATTACATTGGTCAGCTTCAATCCCTTTTTGCTTTTAAGCCTTTTAACCTAGCTAATAGCGATTAACAACTCCTAGAAAAGGATGTCAGCAAAAAAAGAGAAAACAAAAACGAAAAGCAAACACCTGGAATGGTATATTCATATAACAGTCATCACTGTAACTCCTAGAAAATAAAAAGTTTACATAAATTAATTTGAGAGAGAGAGAGAGAGATTACGCAGGATAGTAGGGTGAGGGGACTAGGAAGGCATCACCAGGGTCGGCCAAACAAAAAGCTAGCATTTCTTGAGCTCCAGTTGCTCCACCGCTCATGACTATGCGCTCTGGGTCGAACGTGATCCTACCTCCTCTTACTCTCCCCATAAAATTTGCGACAGCCTGGGGAGATTGAGAAACATGTTTTATTAATATAACATCTCGACCACTACAACTGAACTAAATTTCTGATTATAACAATACCACAGACAGTAATATTAACTACTAGTAGCGATCGAGTTCGTACCTTTCTGAAGGACAACAACCCATGATAGTCCTGAAAGATAGCAGTATCCTTGAATCCGTTAACTCCTTGGGTGGTGCAAATTGAAGCTTCCGGGTGTCTGTTAATCCAGTCTTCAATCAAGTCAAAGCAAAGCTGCAAATGCAATTAAGCAAGAGAACATGATAACTGTAAGGAACAGTGTATAACCTTGTATTTTATATTATTTTGTATGTATTTATACTATATATATTTGTATTTATATTCCTTCCAAACTAAGACTAAGGAACAGTGTATAAAAACGATATCAAACCAATCCTTCAAAGGACCTGATTTTCTGCAAGACCCATCTGTATAACTCCATTAGGATTCTGAGTAGGGTGAAAAGGATCCCTATCGTAAGCCTTCCATCCATCAAAGTAAGGAGACTCTTCGCTGTGCCCGTCGTTGGTTGCAATCTTAGACAACACGTTGTATTGTTGTTCGCACCCCATTATCGATGAAATGTAGGTAGTGCTAACAGCAATTATAACTTGCTAGTTGCTAGCTACCAATGCTGTGAGAGATGTGGATAGCAGGTGGAGATGGAAGGAAGAATTTATAGAAAATGGAGATAATGGCAACTAACCCAGTCATCATCACTCATTGCTGGGAAGAGAGGAAACAGAGGGGAATTCAAAGTCGTCTATAGCAATTCTGAAACACGTGATATTGAGACATGGAAAACTGAAAGTCTTTTAATTGGACTGAAGTTTTTGATTCTTCGTTAATTAGCTTAGTAGATTGCAGCTGGTAGTGCCTTTGATTTTTAACCGCCTTCTCTTCTTCTGAAGCTCATGAGAGAGCTTAGGTCTTAAAACGAAACTTCGTGCGAAGAAACTACCATTGAAAGTTTGACAAATTCTCAACCCAGAAAACTGAGCCAAGTTAACTGCATCCCTACAGACAGCTTTATCAGTACTCACAAATCACAAGCTAATCAGCTTAAGAATGGGAAATTACATTTAGCCCATCTAGTTTTGATAAGATGGAGTTTTATATCGATTTTATCAGTGCTAACTTTTCAGTGTTATTTTATACTCATTTAAGATGTAAAATAACATCTCATCCAAACGTAGGGAGAAGTACCGATTAACCCAGCTCAGAATTTACTAGCCACGAAGTACAGGGGGAATGCATCCCGTGAATTGAAGCCAAATTCACTGGCAGGATGTGGTTTATAGGGGCATGAAGGCTAGTCGTAGGGAGTGGCTGGAATTCAGAATTCTGCATCATGTGTATTCGTACTTTTCCCATATAAAATCAAACGAACATCTAAAGTTTACCTTGATTCGATTTTTCACCTCAAACGAACATGTAAATTACGGGACCATATAATTACCAAAAAAAAAGGGGGACCATACGTGGGTTTTGGCCCCAAAGTTCTATATGTTTGTTTTCTCCCATGCATAACTTAATTTTCTTCACCTATTCCGTGTTTCTTGCATTGGGCCCTACCATGGTTGAATCTTGTAGTTTGGACCTACTTTGACCTTACTATATTTATATGTCGGTGGAGAAGTTTCTTAAATTTAAAAATAAAAGATAAAAATTAGGATGAAAAAGAAAAAATAAAAAAAAAATAACCTCTTAGGATTGGCAATGGAGCAGGGTGAGGCCGGGTTTTGCATAACCTGTCCCGGCCGACCCCAAACTTAAATGTCCCACTATGTTCCTGACCCGAACCCTAGCAGGACCAGAAATCCTAATCCCATCGTTATGGGGAATGGGGATTTCCAAATTTTCTATGCCCGACCCGAGTCATTCTTATTTGTATATTTATAAGTTTTTTTTTTTATTTTTTTTACTTGTATACTTTCAATCCTGCCTCACGCATCCAAAACGTTTATTGTTAAGCTCAGGTGGTATTATTTGTCGCTTTTTCCTTTCTCTTGAGTCTTGATGCAGTGAGATCCGGGCACTCCTAACAGGCTAGAACCTGGCTCCTAGCTGTGATTGACAGCACCAGAGACAAAGAGGAACGTGAAGAATTTCCGGGGAGCTCTCTCGGCGGGAAGGCTCCGATGCTTAAGTTAGAACTTTGAGAAGACTCAAGGAAAATGCAGAGAGAAAACTAAGAGTGCTGATAGTGCTAGCTTCAATACCTTTGTTTTGCAAGGGTCGGGGTTCTCTTATACCGAAGATCTGTCAAATCAGGTGTAACCGCCTCTTCCGTAGTCGTTACTACTAGGGCTGAGGTGACGGGTGTAGGCAGCTGTTGCAAGGTACGGATTCATCAAGCGTGCCATGCTTTTCAGAGATGACAGGCACGACGCCGCCTGACGAGGGACGTGGACGCTACCTCCAGATTCGGCAGGTACGACTGTCAGGCGAATCTTCCCTGCAGGTTGTCGATCTACTTTGCACAGATCTACCTTGGGCTGAACTACCTTGCACCGAGGTGCTTACACTGGAGGCGAGCCTCAAGCAAGTATGGACAGGAGTGTTGACAGTGCTGGCCCGAAGTGTTTCTACCTTGGGACACTAGCCAAAAGTCGGAGTGTTCCCTTCTTAGGAAGGAAGAGCTCGAGATTCATTAGGGAGAGATTGGGTCTCAAGGGGAGCTTGGGTCTCCTCGCATGGAGGGAGCTTGGGGCACTCCACCCTTAGGGAGGATTTGGAGTGAGCTGGGTCTTGCTTTCCGGCGAGTTGCCACATCCGCTAAGTCGTTCGGCCAGGCCTCGGCGAGCTTGTTACGCCGAGTGTGGCCAGGCTGTCGCGCTAAGTTATCACCTATACCAGGTCATGTCCACATGTCCCCGTGCTACGAGGTCGGGCCAAAACATCCCCTACAATTGCCCCCCACTCCCCGTGCTGGGGGTTCTGACCCAGCGCGGGGAGTTCGCGGTGTGCCTGGTGGATTTGGCTCGGAGCTTAGGGCTTCTTGTCCGCCAGCTCATTGGTCAGACCAGTTCTCTGCTCGGCTAAACCAGGAGCAGCCCGGGTCGCGTACAGTCTACGCGCGAACATCACGCGATTTATGAACTCCGCGGACGTCAAAAATGTGCTAAATTGAATTCGCCTCGAGGGTCGTGTAGCTGGTATTCATGAGAACCGTCAGATCATTTGAATCTCGACCGTTGACGCCCGCGTATAGTGGCTATAAATAGTAGGGCTCCTGGCCATTTTTCCTTCGCCATAAGTTCCCAGCCTTTGTCTTGAGCTCGCGTCCAAAGCCTCCAGCTCGAGTCAGTTCTCCCTAGTTCAGTTGTCTTCCTTTGGTGAGTCACCTTAGCCTCCTTTTCTTCCAATTTCTTTTCATTATGTCTAGTTTCGATAGTCAGTTAGACAAGCCCGAGGTGGGTACCTCAGCTCAGGGTGACCCCGCCGGAGTCCAGTCTCCCGAGGTGCGGGAGGCCTCGGGTAACCTGGCGTCCACCTCTCATCGAGGTCAGATGCCGGATAGGTTCGGTCCTTCCACTATGACCTTGGAGAGGCTCTGATACCTCATCCGGTAGTACAATCTGCCTAGGGAGTATGCCTACAGTCTACCTGCAGGTAACTTCCCATGGGAACACGGCCCTGACGAGGTCGTGATCTTCCAGGAGCATCTTATAGCCGATCTCCATCTTCCTTTCCACCCTCTCATTGTAGAGGTCATGAACCATTTTAATGTTACAATAGACCAACTTCACCTGAACTCCGTTCGTAACGTAGTCGGGACCATCTCCCTCTGTTGTGAGTACGTCCTCCCTTTAAATTTAGACATCTTTTGTTCCATCCTAACAAAAAAGAAGAGTGCTTCATGCTTCCCGAGCACAGGAGGGCCTACTACTTGTCCCCTCGCCCGGGCTTCAAGCTGCTACACAAGCTTCCTAGCAAAATCCCGGCCTACCGGAACACTGCGGGGTGGCCCTTCCCTACTCATTGGAGGGCGGCTGTTCAAGACCCCAACATTATTCTGGATAAGAAGACAAGGGAGACGCTCTAGTCGTGGGCTGAGCTCGGGTTTAATTACAAGAATTATATCGTCGAGAGCAAGCTCATACAGGCCGACTTGAGCCCGGGTAGGTAGTCTTACTTAGTACCTTAGTCACTTGGCTTGCACCTTCTTGTTTTTTGAGTTTACTAATGTCGAGCTCTGTTGCAGGTCCCATGGAAGCAGAGAAACTTAAGGGGGAGAAGCTCTTCAACCACATGAAGGGGAGAAAGAAGCGGGCTGCCAAGAGAGCTCGCATCGAGTCCCCACAAGCCCCCACTCCCGAGCCCAAGCTCCCGCAGGCTCCTATTTCTGAGCCCGAGCTTCCTGATGCTCCTCCGATCATTGATTTGGAGGAGTCCTTACCACCTCGGGAGCCCAAGACCTCGGCTTAGCCTGCTACAAAGGCAGCTGCGGAGCCTAAGGTCATCACCGGGGCCACCGACGCAGCAGCTGAAGCCTCCGCCGAGCCCATCCGCACAGCCGAGATGGCGATTTCCAGCTCTGGGAGTCAAGAGGGAGCCCGAAGCATCCTGGTCCCTCATTGCAGTCTTCAGAAGAGCAAGGGGGCTGTCTACGCCGAGGAGGTCTCGATCTGGGCCGACCTCACTCCTGCTCATCTCGGAGCCCGAGCTGCTACCCACACAATGGTTGTAAGTTTTCTCTCCCTTTTTTTTTATATCTCCCCCTTTTTTTTCATTATCTCTTCGGTGCTAACCAGCCTTTTTTGTCAGGCGAACTCCATCATGCATGCCTTGACCCTTCAGTCTAAGAGGAACCTAAAGCGGGCTCTAACTGCCAAGGAGTCGTCTCGCGCAGCCCACGCTGATTTGAGGGCAGCTTGCGGCCAAATCCACCATCTGGAGAGTGATGCTGTGGCTTAGAAGAACGTCATCGCAGCACTGATGGCGGAGAAGGAAGAGTTGGCACGTGAGAGGGACGTGCTGAGGAGTGAGGTGGACGCCCTCAAAGAAGAGGCAGAAGGCCTCAAGGAGAATAAGAAGGCCCTTCTACACGAGGTGGAGTTCCTCAAGGTCGATATCGAGGAGAAGACCAAGATCTTCGCTCAAGCCATAGACGAGACAAAGATCAAGGTTGTTATGGACTATGTCCAATCGGACAAGTTCGATGCCGTTCTGGGGCAGGCCTATCGTAAGGGCTTCAAGCTCAGTAGGTGGTTAATAAGGCATACATACCCCGAGCTCAACACAAGTGCCATCACCACCTCACGAATCACGAACGAGGTAGCCCATCAAGCTATAGAGAATCCGGATTCTATAGCGGAGAACGGTGACGAAGAGGCAGATGTCACCGACCGGGCTGAAGCTTCTGAGGAGGTCCCGTGCAGAGATGACGAGCCCTCGAAGTAGTTGTTCTTTGTACTCCGAGCCTGCGAGCTCAAATTTAGTTTCCTTTTTCCTTTCTTTTTGTCAAGCTCATTGTACAAAACTATCTATTAATGAAATTAGCTTTTTTTTTTTTGCCAAGTGTTGTTACTCGCCAAAGTAATTGTTTTATCCGAGCTATCATAGTTAAGCACGAAGTAGGGTTTCTCAACCGTTTCCATTTCAAACTGTCTCCC